ACTCCAGGGACCCTCCAAGGACCCCTCCAAGGACCCCTCCAAGGCATCACACACCTCCTGTGCATGTGTGTCCAAGGGGACCAAAGGGCAGCCTTTCTGGCAGCTCACCCCACCCTGCTCTGCCTCTCCAGTCTGGCCTCTATTGTGTCTTCCTGACCTGTTTCCTTCAGTTCCTCTGTTCCAGAGGTGGCCTCCATGGGTTTGAGAGGAAACACATGCCAACACTTGAGTTTTCTTCTAAGACTACAATTTGGCCTTAGCTTGGAATTTCACTATCTGTATTCATAAGCAAAAATGGAAATGGTAGAAATGGAAAACTGAGTAAGGAAAATATCTAGTTAGTAATGATGAAATAATAAACATGTCAGTAATCTTCCACAGAAACTTCCATGTCTCTGAGCAACAGACAGGGAAATAAATTAGAGCACACCCAATATAATGGCAGACAAAAATAAAAGTGAGAAATTTCTTTTTGTACAGATATGACATGGCCTCCAAAATCTATTGTTAAGTAAAAAAAAATAGATGCAAATGAATGTGTATGTCTGTAAGAGAGGGTACAGATTATATGAAATATAATAAAATACAATGCTATATAATGGAATAAACTTTCCTGTTTATCCATACACTACTCATGGAAGGATATCTGAGTAACCTTCTGGGCAGAAACGTGGAAGGAAGGGAAGGTAGGAGATGGTGTGTCTGGCATCCTTAGAAAGCCAGGAGCTGTGTAACCAGTTTTCAGCCTAACATTAGAACAATTTGGGCAGACCTGTGGTAAGGACTGTTTTGAGACTTTGGTCCGAGGACACTGTCACATGCCAAAGTGCCCTTAGGTATTATGAGCTTGAAGTGTGTGCCTCTTTCTGCCACCTTCAAACTGAAATGTGATCCTATGTTAATCCTAGAGTGAATACATAGGATGAATTTTCACCTGACAAGGAAGACTCTTGCGAACATGCTTGAAATAGATGGAGCCCTTAAGGCACCCCTTTTGGGGGACTCTGCTTCTTACTCAAGATATTTTGATCCTTTCTTTCATTGAGTGCTTTCATGGCATCAGGGTAGATCAGATGTTCAACTAAGTTTTCTATTTGACAGTTGCAGGAACTCCATACTCCAAGATCACCATCAACATCAGTAGGTACCTTATTTTATTCTTAATGGAATCACTAATGCCAAATTTCACAGAATTGTTTATTCAAGGATATTTTGTTCTTTACCATGAGAAACTGCAATTTTTGTTGATTGCCTCATGGTATAAGCTTGACTCTCTAAAGAGAAAAGCAGTCTTTTTCTTTAGTTTGTGTATTAGGTATGCAGAAAAGAGTTAATGTAGCAGGTTGGGACTTTTTGTTAGGACAGATTGCTTGCAAGGTTGACCCTCAGCTAGCATTAGGAAAAGTATACAATTTCTAGAGGGATCCCTCTACTCAAACTGTTAAGAGTTTCTTACTATGCCTAAAAGATTTGTAAAACAACATGGTTTGTACAAAACACCTGCTTTCCTTCTGGAAGTTGGGAACTTCGATGCATGTCCACTACAGGTTGCCTGTGTGAGTAGCTTCTAGTAAAAACCTCAGGTGCTAAGTCTTTATTGAGCTTCCTTGGTAGGCAATATTTTCTTACAGGGTAAATTGGCTCCACCAAAGGGGACCCCTGGAAGCTCACCCCTTACTCCCAATTTCATTCCGTGTACCTGTTCTCTTAGCTGATTTTGCTTTGTGTCCTCTGCTGTAATTATTGTCATGAGTGTGACTATGTGCTGAGTTCTGAGAGTCCTCTAGCAAATCACTAAACCTGGGGGTGGTCTTGAGGTAGTCCAGTATATTAGGGTGACTAATAAATGCTGTAGCAGACAATCCCCAGGAGGTCAGAGGCTCCTTACTGTAGTTTATTTCTGACACATGTAAAGATAGATGCCAGTGCTCCTGGTGGGTTGCCCCTACCTGGTCATTTAGGGTTCAGGCACCTTCCATCTTAAACTTTGCCTCACTCTAAGTCCTTGGAGTCCTCTCCATTAAGTTTTCGGACGGTGGAAGAGACTGTGGAAAGGACACATACCCTTGGCCATTTTAACCTCCACATTGGCCCCAAGATGACATACATTGCCCAACCACCCAAATACCATTGGCAACCACTGTTCATATGATGTCACCTAAATGCTAGGGGACAGGAAATGTGGTCTCTAGATGGTGTCTGCTCCCCTGCAGCAACCCCTCCCTGCAGAAACGCACCATGAATTGTTGATAAGTCCCTTCACAGGTACTTATCATGTACCTACTGTGTGCTTGGCTTTGTACCAAGTGCTACGGATCAACAGTACACACAAGATTGTGTGATATTGTTCTTGTCCAGGTGTAATTGACATGGAAAAGGGGATTAGTCACCCCGGGATGAGAAAGCAATGCTCATTTTTTTTCTGGGAAGTCTTCTTTCCTATCAGACTCTGAATCGTGTTGAATCCTCTCACAACACTTATCAGTGTGCATTGATACTTTCCATTTTCTCATCTGACTTTCCCCCCAAATTATATTTTTGGGGGTGAATGCACTTGTCTTATTGACCAGCAGGTATCTCCAGTGCCCAGCATGGAACCTGGTCCATCCAAGTTGTGTGGTGAATCCATCAGTGAACAAATGACTGAAGGAGTTAGTGAGATGCATGGTGACCCTGTGCACTGAGCATGTGCTTCTGAGTTAGATACACCATCTTATCTCAGACCCTGCAAAAGTTACTAGACTTTTCTGAAACTCAATTTCTCATTCTTACAATAGGAAGAAAAATACCAACTTTGCAAAGTTGCCATGGGAATTTTTCTAAAATGATAAATGTGTATAAAGCACCTATCCTTGTAGCCTATAGACACATAGTAGATTCTGTAAAAGTGGTATTTGTTATTATCATAAGTCACAGCCAGTGGGATACTAGCGTCAACTTCACATGCATCAGATACAGTCTTGGATGGAAGTCATTAGGAAATCATAGAAACCATGAGAAGGGGCCAAATCCTCTGTACAGAGCAATGAGAGGGAGGAGTTGTGGAGACAGCAGTTTCATTTCATTGCAGGTGTTTAGATGGAGAGAGAGAGAGAGAGAGAGAGAGAGAGAGAGAGAGAGAGAGAGAGGGATTTGTGATTCTAAAGGTGGAGCTTATTCTCCCACAACTGCACACGATGCCAAGGTCAACTCATGGCTTGGCAATTGCATTCTTCAAGATGGAGTTCTGATCCCTTCATTGACTCTTGCACTTGAAATCTTTTCAGAGTGTCCACTTTGAACCAAGTATTGGGGATAGATTGTGATGAACAGAGAGCCAAACTCTCTCATAGAGCCAATAACTATATCACACAGAGATAATGAAAAACAAAATCTTAGGTTGTGTCCTGGATAGATGGTAACTCTTTCTTCAAGAATTATAGTCTCAATGAAAATCACTGTTACATATGTCACCTCTAGTGGTCCTATTTTTCCTTCTTGAACAATAATTTTATAATTATGTATGCATACATGCACACATAGATACCCAAAACTTCGTATACTATTTCATATACTACTTATTAGTCAATTCTCTATTTTACCTAAACTTCTGGGGGGGGGTGTTTGTTTTTGTTTTTTGCTGTATTTGGGTTTAAACTCAGGAACTCATGCTTCCTAGGCAGGTGCTTTACCACTTTAGCCATGCCCTCAGCCCTCTTTCTTTTTAGTTATTTTTCATGTAGGGTCTTGTAATTCTGCCTGAGCCAGCCTGCTTTGTGATCCTTCTATTTGTTACTCCCCCAGTTTTATTGGTTGAGATTAGGGTCTTGTTGATTTTTTTGGCCTGGTTGGCCTCAAGCTGCTATTCTCCTGATCACTGTCTCTCAAATAGCTGGGATTCCAGGCATAAACCACAATGCCCAGCCTCAAATTTTTTTATAAACATTATTTTTGTGTTATTTCATTTTTTCTAAACTACATGATAGGGAAGTCCCAGTATAAACATTGTTCTTTGGTTGAAGAAAGGGTCACCACCTGCCTAATCTTCATCAGGCTCCCAGAACTGAACCTCACTGTCCAAGCAACTCAGGCTGAGAAGGAAAGGATTCAATTTGAAAAACATAGAAAACACTTACAGGTCTTCAACAATAGCATTATAGTCTAGTTCAGTGTACAGACGGAAGAATAAGCAACACCAACAGCAACGCATCAAGGCTAATAGTAAGTGTGAAGGTGTGTGGTAGGGACCCTGAAGGAGAACTCTTCTTATCTTAAATACCCATGGAAGACCAGCATTTGGTCTGTCATCTTCACATGCCTGGCTTCTCAGTAAGAACATTTCACATGAGGTTCACCCACCTCCTTGAATTCTCAGTTCTTAGCCCCCGGAATCACCAGTGATCTTTTCCTCTCTTCTACTTCAGTCATACACTCCATTTGCCACACCCTTGACCCTGTCAAAACCAAAAGGCTGCCCCTGCCCCATCCTTTCAGCTCATTGGCTCTTGAAAATACTTCCACTGTCTGACCCTTCTCTCCCTCTGTCACACTCACCAAGTGAAACTCCAACTCTAAATGACCCATTGAAACTTCCTATCCTTCCTCAAACTAATTCCCATAAAAACAGCTGATGAAAATGTCACCACAAAGCAGAACTATAACTATACACAGCCTTCACTGCTTCCCTACAATGTAGACTTCTCACTCCACTTTCCTAAAACCCAGTTCACAGCTCTTACTCCTCAGACTTCCCACACTTTCTTCCTGTCTGACTCAGCACAGTTGATTGATGACCTTACTTGCTGCTTCAGTGTGAATGTAGAAGACACCTTCTCACTCCTACAAAGTGATGAGAGCTCCCTCATTCTGCTGTCACAAGTGCTATGCACCTGTCCCCATCTCTCCCTTCTCTCCAACTTCTGAGGAGAAGCCATCTCTCTGGACCACCCTTCTCATGGATTTTGACCTTTTTTTTTCTTTAATCCATTATCATTTCCAGGGTTTCAATTGATGGGTTCTCCATGGGGTCAGCCATTCCCACCTTTGTATGGATGTCCTCTGGAATCTCTCATCAAGCAACAGCAGCAGCAACAGAACTCTCCTGATTCTGTGTCCCTTCATCTCTATCTCAGGCTTCCCCAACCCCCACACGAACTCCAGAGCTTTACCTACTACCTTGATGCTTCCTTCACTAGGATGTCTAAGATGCATATCAAATTTAATATGTCCAAACAGAATTCTTGATTTTCTTCTCCATACCTATTCTACCTGCAGTTTTTCTCATTTCAGTCAACATCTACCTGTTGCTCAGGCCACATTCCTGGGCTTAATTCCTGGGCTTCTCACTGTGGGCCTGTTCCTTCATCCTATTCTCCACACAGCAAAACCAGCATTCTTTTCTTTGTTTTAGAAGTGGAAAAAGAAGACATTCTTGTCTCGCTCCTGATCTTCTGAGGAAAGCATTCAGCCTCTCATTGAGTATGATGTTACTGTGGATTTTTCGTACGTGTGCTTTGTCAGGTGCAGAAACTTCCCTTCAATTTCTAGTGAAATTTTACTGAGTGCTTTTATCATGGAAGGGTGTTGTTTTCTCCTCTGCCTATTGAGAATATTACTGGATTCAGTTTTCTAAGATTTTATTGGGTTTTGCATTGTGCTCCTTTTGAACAAATGAGATCACATTACTTGTCTGCCTTAACAATTTCCCCTGGATTCCTCCCCTCTCCCCCTCACCACTGAGGGGGTATCCCCTTCAGAATTCTGACAAAAACTCCTATTCAGAACTTTGAACAATGTCACTCCCAGCTTCTACCACCTCCCACTTCCCAGCTCTCTCATTGGCTTCTCCTGGGAACAATTCCTAGTAAATAACTGAACTGCCACTCAAATCCTCTTCCCTGCACTGCCTATGTGGATCCACCATAGTATCCAGAGTGGAGGAGAAGCATCTCTGGTTGCATCCACTCACCATTCACAAGCCCACCCTCCACCTGCCTCCACACCACCCTCCCCATTCCCCCACACCCCTGCTAACTGGGCTCTTGGTTTTCCTGCAGGTGATTTATGCCCTGAACACCCGCCAGGATGAGACAGAGGCCAGCATGGAGGCGCTACGGGAAGCACACCAGGAGGAGCTCCAGGACGCAGTGGCCGACACCAAGGCCAGGCTCTTGCAGGAACAGGGCTGCACGGGTGACAACCAGGAGGCCCTTCTGCAGCGCATCCAGGCCCTGGAGAGCGCCCTGGAGCTGCAGAAGAGGCTGACGCAGGAGGCGCTGGCCGAGTCGGCCACGTGCAGGTTGGAGACCAAAGAGAGAGAGCTGAGGGTGGAGGCAGAACACGCCGAGCGGGTCCTCACGCTCTCCAAGGAGATGCTGGAGCTCAAGGCGGACTATGAGAGGAGGCTCCAGCAGCTGATGAGCCAGGAGGGCTCGCAGTGGGGCGGTCCTTCCCAGGAGAGCCCTAACGCCACGGCCGAGCCTGACCAGGGCCCCGAGATGCAGCAGGTCCTGCAGGAGGTGGAGCGGCTGAGAGCGGAGAACCAGCAGCTGAGCCAGGACTACGCCAGAAAGGCCGAGGAGCTGCAGGCCACCTACGAGCGGGAAAATGAGGCCATCCGGCAGGCCATGCAGCAATCGGTGAGCCAGGCCCTGTGGCAGTGGCAGGAGAAGGAGACCGACCTCCGCAAGAACTTCCAGGTTCAGGAGTCAGCCCTGCAGGCCCAGGTCAGGAAGCTGGAAGGGGACCTGGAGCACAGGGGACGCAAGATCAGTGACCTGAAGAAGTATGCACAGAAACTGAAGGAAAGGATTCAGGTAAAACCACTTCTCTTCATACCTCCCCCAGGGATAATAGATAGGGCTGCTAATTCTGAAGACCTACCATGTGCGGGCATGGTGCTCAATCTTTTCCTTCTACCAAGATGAGCACTGTTGTCTGCATACATTATACAACTACATCGTGTGACATGCATTTATCGAATACCCACTATGCTAGGCAGGGAAGTAGAGACTTGCAGTTTGTAGATGAGAAGACAAGGCTGTAACTGGGAAGTTTAAAGACTCTAGCTGGACACACAATGAGGAAGTTCTTGAACTCAGATCTGCCTAGTTCTCAAGCCTGTGCTCATTCAGTAATAACTTGACTCTCCTAAAATCCTTAGGACATTTGGTTCATGGAAAGCAGGGCCATAGATGAGTCAGTCATGTGAGACCCACAAAAGCACAAGGCCCCATCTCTACAAGTAGCCACAGCTACTATCTGTAATACTCCCCGAGCATTTTGTTCTGTACTAGACACATTATCTCACTTAATCCTCACTGGAGAAAGGTTAAATAACTTTCCCAGGGCCACATGGCCATCAGAGGATGAGTAGGATTTGACAAACCCTGAACCACTAACTCTGTAGACTCGGTGCTCCTGCTGTGCACTTCCCTCCTTCTCCCCTGCCCTCCTTCAGCTCTGAGGGCTGTTTTGTGCATGCAGCATGTCTCTTTACAGAACTGAAACCATAGAACTCAGACCTTTCTTGTCCATTTAGGACTTGGACATGCAGCTGAGGGAGGCACGACAGGAGAACTCAGAGTTGAAGAGCACTGCAAAAAAACTTGGGGAGAAGCTGGCTGCTGCCAAAGACAGACTGATGCTACAGGAGTGTCATGTGACACAGAAAACTGGTGAGATGCACTGTAACAATCCCTTAAAGATCGAAGTTAGCTGCCAGGGTGACCTGGTGCTACTGGAACCTCAGGACTGCTCAGGGACAGGGGCAGGACTGTTGGATCTGCCTGTTAGGTGGATGAGTCCAATCCCTGCAGCACACAGGTGAGCCTCACCTGTAGAGTTGCATGGGCCGACCTGACATCTAGAAGTTGTGATGCAAAAGGACCCCTGCCTGCCAGACCCACTACAGTGCTGGCATTGGACGTCTCCCTCCATGCTTAGAAACAGCTTTGTACTTTTAAGGTCATTGCACACCCTTACACTGTTGGTTCTTCCCACTAATTTTGTGAGACATGTGTTGTCATTCTCCCATGTTACAGATAAAGAAATGAAGCTAAGGAAGGATTAGTGGCTGGTTTGAGGCCAGTCAAATGGTTGGTGATAAAGATTGTGTTGTATCTAAGAATATCTGACTCCAAGTGCCTTTGACTAGGCTCCCTCAACAAGTTCTTGAATACCTAAAGTGTGACCAGCTTGCCAATAAAAACATTAAACATGATCCCTGTCTTTGGGGAGTTTATAGGACAGTTATATCACAGCCATGGCATGCTTCAGTCTTAGAGGCATGGTGCAGGCAGTAGGGGAATATTGTGTCTCAGAAAGAAAAACTCCCCATGGTTAGACAGGTGAGGAGGAGAAGAGATTTGAGTTGGAAACAGAAGGGTGTTGAGAATTTAGAACAGTGGTCTTCAAAAATAGAGCATAAGTGCTTCAAGGAACAAGAAAAAGAAAAAAAATTGCAGTTCCAATTACATATTTCTTATTCTTAATGTCTCTTGAATACACATATATTGGGAACATGCTCAATTTTATACCTATAGAAAATGTAATAAAAAAATTTTAGAGACTGCTAGCTCAGGAAGGGAGAGGTAACACTTATTTTAAGATGAGGATGCTGTTTGAGCAAAGATGAGAATTACATGTGGCCATTCCCAAGGAGTGCAGACCGTGGAGAGCATTACGTAGAAGGGTGGTAGGAAAATGACTGAATAGCAGGACAGGGACCTAAATGCAGAAGGCTTTGAACACAAGGCCAAAGCCAAGAACATTGCAAATGACGTGGAAACCTATGCTTGCAGATGACAGGAAGACTGAGCAAGCTTTGGAGAATGAAGTCCTAGGGGAAGTGAATGACTTGGAGGCCCACAGTCTTCATCCTCAGCAGGATCGAGGCTTTCCCAAGGAGTATCCCTGCACACTAGGAGGCCCAGATGCACAGGTAGTGTCTGAACAGCCCTAGTGATGCAGTCACGGGAAGCGTTGATGGCATGAGCTTGAGGTAGAAGCCAAGCACAGTGTGTCTCATGATTTTAAGAATAAATAAAGTGAGAGTGGAAGTCCCTCCAGCTTCCTACCTGCCCCGTTTCATGTTTCTCCCACGAAGCTGGGAATCAGCGAATGTAGTAGAATTCTCCCAACTTTTTATGTCAATTCCTCGGAAACTGGAAACTGCTACAGTCTCAGTCAAAACAAAAGATTCTTTAGAAGCTACTAGAGTATGGCCTAGAATATCTGACACTGTGACAATAAACGTGCCATTCCAAAAAGCCCTTTTCCAATGGTGATATCTCTTACAAATATCAAATACATAGTCTTTTCAATTTTATTGGACCCTCTGATACATGCCATATAAGCAGCATATAAATGTATAAAAGAGAAATGGGATTCCATGGACCTCACCCCTCTCTAGCAGTTATAAGGTCTTGTTTCTTCTCATAGGCCAAGAAAGAAGCAAATGTCGAGACAGAATATATGAAGCAGCGACATGAAGAAGACCTTCACAAGATTAAACGTCAAACTGAGGAGGAGAAGAAGCATCTCAAAGACCAGCTGGTGAGGCGCCTGGAGGACTTGGTAAAGAAACACACTGTGGAAATCAAGTCAGTGCGCTCATCTGTGGAAGTGGAAAGAAAGAAGCTGCAGAAGGTGAGGCCCGTGTTCACTGAGATGATTCTGGTTATTTCTTTCTCTCATCCCCTCCTTTCCTCTGTCATTCCTTCTTTCCTTCCCCATGCATTTTCTATGCTCCTGCTGTGTGCACATCTCAGCTCATTCTGTGAAGATACACAAGTGAAGGACAGTCCCTGCTCAGAGGGAGTTCAGGGTGTCTTGGAGGAGACAAGGGGATTCCCCTAAGATTGTAAGTCAACAGGGCCTGCAGTTGTCGACATGGGGTAGAATGGTGTCTTATACCATTTAACTTAGGGAAATTCAACTCTTCTCATGCAGCAAAAACCCAAAGAGAAATTTGGTCAACTAAAAATTCATGCTTTAATGACTGCCTGGACCCAAATCCCCACTCTGCTGCCTCTGCCCACCAGAGAGAAATTCTGCATGCCTCAATAGTTAGATGGGTGTTGATGATAACGGCACCTCTCTGAGCACTGCAAAGATTAAAAGTGGAGATCCACATGAAGAAACGAAGCATCTCCCAGTGCCTAGGCCACCAAGGCAGTAGGTAGAACCTGGCTCTTAAACAGCCCTGTGAGGGAAGAAACTGTCTGTGTGCTGTTCCCATCTCCCACCAGAAGGGGCAGCTTTCTGCTGAGAGACATGCAAAGCCTTATCTCTCCTGTTTGCTAGGAAAAGCAAATCAGGTAAGTGAGGGTTTTAGAGAAAGAATGAACTGTAAATCAATATTATTTTGAACGTGGGTGGATGCTTTGTTTAGCGATGATGAGAAACCCTCTTTATAATCTACGGTACCAGTGTTTAGTGTTCACTGAAAGATAATTGTGTACCACTGTGGGACCCAGTTTTGTGTGGTGGTTGAGAGAAGAAAGTATTCAATAAACATGTATTTAATAAATACATGAATTCGTGAAACACCTAGACCACTCCTGGGCCTAGGTCTTGACTCTTCCACAAGTTGTGTGATCAGAGATTGAGCACTTAACTTCTCTGAAGATTGAAAATCTTCAATAAAATAAAATAAAATAGGAATAAATAATTCAAGGGCTTGCAGTGATAAAGTCTGGTATTACATATGAACCCTTAGCTCAGTGCACAGAATTTAGTGAAAATTCAATGTCTAGTAACTATTTATTAATCACCATGTGCCCTGGTGACCTGATGGACAAATCTGACTAAGCAAATAAATCTCACTTTAGCTTTAGGCAGGGAGCATGAGTCCATTTGGAAAATGAATCACATGGAAATAAAATGTGTTTACTTTCAGGATTTTGTCTGTGTTTTACTTTTGATCATGTCTCAAAACTGAGACTGTAAATGATATAAATCAAGCCAGGCAGATTAGAGAAAGATAAAGCCTTAAAGAGGCCTCCTCTCCAGGGTTTATGAACTAAAAATAGACACTGGTTTTCCTGTGGAGTTAGGAGTGCTCTGTTTCTTTGAGTACTTGGTGCAGGTACATTGCATACCCTAAATACTTCCCTAACCTAAAGAACACCTTTAGGAGGTATGCTGGAGTTAGTCCAGAAAACCTGTATGCCTGTCTTGGCCATGAGATTAGAGTTATCAGTTAGTCTGACCAACAGAACAGAGTATACATCCTACAACTAGCACTTGCACACAGTGATAGCTGTGAAAGGATTTCCTGAGCCTCCTGAGATAACACTTTTGCACTCCACATCTCATTTGTTCCACTTAGGATACTTGGTGGCAAGACTCACAAACCCATTTGAGCAGTTTAGGCAGAAAAGGAATTTAACATAGTGATAATGAGTAGCTTTCTGGAAGACCTGAGAACTGGCTTTAGCAACTTCCAAGCCAGTACTAATGTCCCAAATCCACTGCAAAACTTATGTGTAGTTGGTTCTTATTTGGTTATTTGGTTTGACTGTCTTTGCCATTTAGGGGCACTCAGATGATTTACATTTAATGTAATGACTTACTGCTTTTCCTACTTGTCACATCTTTGTGCCCTGTTCCCCTCTTTGTTTAGTTTTGATTTGTTGCGCATGTTTTGGTATTCCATTCTTTTACCTTCACCCCTTACTTACCAGCCTCTTTTTCGGCAGATGGAGGGATAGTGTTTACGCTAAGATTTATTACAAACATCTTTATCACAGTCTTCTTTAAACAGTATATTATTTCACATATGCAAACTTTACAATAATACATTTTCATTTCTCCCCTCGTGTTCTTTGTACATTCATTGTCTGACATTTTACTCTGCATGTTATAAATCCCATGCAATGTTGATTTTATATTTGCTTGAAGAGAAAAAAAATTAATGAGAAAAAAAGTCTTTCTTGTTTCTTTTGTATTTATCATTTCTACATTCATCAAATGCCCAGATAGTATCATTTTTATTTGGCCTGAAGAACTGCCTATAACATTTCTCATGTGGGTCTCTGCTCATAACAAATTCTATTTTGCCCTCATTTTTTTGGATATTTTTACGATATATAGAATGCGAGGTTGATTTGTTTTTCCTTTCAGCACTTTAAAGATGTCACTCAGTACCTTCAGATTTCATTTTCTTCTAGTGAAAAGTCGGCAGCCATACTTAAGTTTTATCTCTTATGCATAATGCATCTTTTTCTCTGACCATTTTTAAAGATTTTATCTTTCTCACCAGTCTTCAACAGTTTGATTTTGATGATTTTTGTATTTTCTGCTCACTGAACTTGTGGATTTATACTTTTCATGCAATTTGGAGATTTTTAGGGCCATTATTTCTTCATTCTTTTCTGCTCTGTCCCCCTTCTGGTTTTGTTCCACAAGTCACCAAAGCTCCATATTCATTTATTTTCAGGTTCCTTGTCTCTCTGCTTCTGTGAGTTTCAATTGTTGTGTCTTTAAAGTTCATCTTTTGCTCACCTTTATTCTGTATAGTCTGCTCTTTTTTAATAAATTCATCCAGTACATTTTTCACTTCAGATATTATATTTTTCAACTCTAGAAATTCCATTCTATTCCATGCTTTTCCTGCCCTGATACACTGAAACATCTGAAACTGAGCAAACTAAATCCTTCTTCTCTTAAGTTGTTTCTGTCAGGTATTCTGTCACATGATGAAAATCTAACACAGAAAAATGGTACCAAAGAAGTAGGGTCATTACAATGACTAAACCTAACTATGTGTTTCTCAAGTCTTTGGAACTGGTTTGCAGGGGAATTTTGGAAATGTTGAGGCAGACTAGGAAAAGTCTAGAATGCTGCAAGCAGAGCCAAATGGGTGATTCTGGTGGGAGCTTAGATGACCAGTGTGCCAACAGAACTGCGGACAGTAAAGACAGTGCTTATAATGCTATAGATGTGAATGGAGATGCTATTGGGAATTAGACTGCAGGCCATTTGTGCTCTGGCTTGACAAATGATAACTTGACTAAATTTTGTTCATGCCCTGAGACGCTAAATGAGACTGAATTTCAAAGTCATAGACTAATTCATCTGGTAGAGGAAATTAATAGGCAGCTCAGTCTTTAGGCTGTGGGATGGTTTTTGTTGACTGCTTTTAGCCAACTTTATAGTGAGAGTTGTAAGCAAAAATCAGAACAGAAAGATTTGAGACACTTGCAGTTTTCCCAGAAAAGAATCATGTGTAAAGTGGGGCCAAGGAAAGTATGACTGCTGCAGATATCAGGGCAATTAGAAAGAAGCCAAGTACTTTGCATAAGGACAAAAGGCAAGATGCATTGAGGTCATCTCAGTAATTGACTGGACCTCTCCCATCTCAGGCTCAAGAGTATAAGTGTTTTAACTCATTGTAAAGACTTTTCTTTGAGAAGACAGCTGGCTTGGGGTGCCTTGCCCACACAGGGTCACCTAGGGAAGTGTTTCCAGAGCAACCTAAGGAACTGTTCCCCCATGTTCAGTCATCCAGGCAATCGGAGACCACTGTAGCCATGCTCCCAGGGGGCTAGTTACTGCTCAAGCTTGCAGCAGAACTTGTTGTATGATGCTGGTTTTGCAGGCATGCAGAATGCAAGAGTCATGGGGTCATGGAAGCTTCCATCAAGATTTCAAAGGAAAGCCTGCAAATGTGGAACTGGCTTTGCAGCTGGGTAATGGCAAGAGATTGGTAGAATTAAGAGACATGCTTGCTAGAAAATGCCTCCAGCGCTGTAAATGGACCATACTGGATGGTTGCAGTGAGTTCTCAGAAGACAGGTATCTAAACAAGAGCTACACATGTCTGCTGATTGGTACTGGGGTTTGAACTCAGGGCTTCATGCTTGCAAGGCAGGAGCTCTACCATTTGAGCCACACCTCCAGCCCTGGTGACTGGATAAGTCGTTATGACCAGATTGCTGATGCAAATGAAGTCTATTCTTTTAGAAATTGGAGTCTATTCTTTTGTCATACCACTAAAAAGAAGGTAGCTGAGGACTAGGTCTGTGGTTCAAGTGGTAGAGCACCAACCTAGAAAATAAAGGGCCTGAGTTGAAACCCTAAGAGCACCAAAAAAAGAAAAAAAAATAGGCAGATGGCTGAACTGTGTCCATGCCTCAGAGTGTTATGGATGGCCAGATTTAAAAGTGATGAGGTAGTGTATCTGGCAGAGGAAATATCTAAATAACAAACTATTCATGCTGCTGCTTGGTTACATTCTAAACTGCAGGCTTCAGGAGCAAGGGCATGCCTGAAGGTGGAATGTATAATCAAAAGGGAAGCAGAATGACAATATATGGAATTTTGCAGCCTGACAAAGGAAAAAACAAAGAAAAAGCACCTAAGGGTACAACCCAGCATCTGCTTGCTGAAGAGATTAGCACTGCATAGGAAGCCAGTTGCTAGTTATCAGGCCACTGGGGGAAGAGCCTTAGAAGTTGTGAAGCTACTTCTGCCATCACAGGCCAACACACCTAGAAAGGCAGGCAAGGTCAACTCAGGATTCTACTTCTTGCTTTCCAACAGAGGACTCCATAGCCACTGCACCTGTGGTTCAATCAGATGCAGGCCCACATATGCTATCACTCCAAAGGGAGCAAGTGGCAGACCTTGGTTTCCCCAAGATG